AAGCCATTGGTTGGCATGCACTATTTCACTCGTCACTCCCACAATATGTAGAAGGCACAGTTTGATAACAGACAGCCGGATCCTCTGGTGTAATCTAGCACGCAAACAGAGTTCGGGTCATTTCCTCGTCCCCCGCAGAAATCGCATTATCCCTCTCATATTTACATACTTTTTAATACTTGTCAAACATTCATAAATTATAAATTAATGAAATGTTCGACAGTCTTCAGAGATCAGACTAATGAAGGCATTTACCTATTTGGAGATTTTCACAATCATGGATAGGAGAGGGATGATATATGGAGCTTTGGAGTTTATTAGCTTTTTATTCAATTGAGTCCAAACTCCCGCAGACTCTCATACACCCCTCTTAGTGTGTCACCTGCTCCAGGTACAAAAAGGGAGAAAGGGAGGGGAGAGAGAAAGAGAACAATGAGACATTCTCAACAAAAACAGATTTTTTAAAAATGAATATTTTATTTAAAACTTTGTGTTTGTTTCAGTGTGTACATATATGTTACATACATGCATATTATTTTATTTGTGTTTGTGTACATATGGGGATAGTGGGGGTGAATACATTATCTTTAAAAAAAAAGTATTCAACCCCCAATGCAACTGATAATGCTAGAAAAAATAGTAATAAAAATAAAATCATTATAATATACAAATGCATAAATTAAATTAATTTAAAGAAATAAGAGGTTTTACAACTGGAAATGTCAGATGTGGTCATCAACCATTATTAATAAGTTTGCCTAATGGAAAGGCCTTTTTTCATATTTTGATCACACACAAAATGTAGAATTGTCTGTACTGTGTTTCTTATGTCTCTTGACTAAACTGATACATTTGATGGTCTGTTATGTTTGCAAGCAATATTGATGCATTTCCAAATTTGGCATTGTATGAATATGGAACTTGAAAGAAAGGCTGCAACGTGTTAGTATAAATATTGGCAGGAAAGGCAAAATCAGAAGCAGATATAATTTGTTTATTAGACTACCGTGCTGGAGGATCTGGGAGTAAAGGAGCCTATTAAATGGAACACAGCAAAAAGGTGATGTTAGTCTGAACCAGACTGCCATGTTACTGTCTGATAAAAACATTATATCTAGCAATGAATATGTTCTAACCGTTCACATGGAAAAACAGGTAATCATGAATCATATTAAGCCAAGTTGGTGCATATTTACTTACACTACAAGGATTCCTAATGATTGATGGGGAGCCATCTTTCTTATAGCATTAAAATTGATAGATTAAGTTCAGCCCAGAGAGGTCAACTGATGCACACAGCTCTGTGTTACAGTCTAGCTGCACCAAATTAAATCACACTTAAAAATGCAAATACTATCAAGCAGCATGGATTCCTCTGTTTGTGTTGCGACATTTCAAGAATAAAGATGTTAAACTCAGAAAGGCACATTGTAATCAGCCTGTGTAATTCTATTAGACCCTATGCAGGTTCTAGGAGCATGTGTTATTGGATCCAGTCCTGCAGTGACTCTAATTCATAATTCCCATCACTGCACACACATGGGATGTGCACAGTGTCCTTCTAGACAAAGAAACACTTTTTTTTAATTTTTTTTTAAATATTAGGAACTATATTCCTTCCACGAATGGTATTTATTTATTAATTGTATATTTATTTTGGGTGTAAATGTGCCTAGTGTGTAACTGTGTAGCAAAAGAGATCTCACTGACTTTACCCATTCATGTGTAACTTTGGCACAGCAGATATTTATAAACTAAACTCCTGGCTGAGCATTCTGGGAAACGTAGTTCAGAAACACCTGCAGTTCCAAGATGATCTCTTCCTGGGTTGAGACAACTTTTAAGCCTTTCTAAACTCATGCTAAAACATTAAACACAATATATATATATATATATATATATATATATATATATATATATATATATATATATATATATATATATATATATATATATATATATATATATATATATATATATATGTGTGTGAATATATGTCTATGTTTGTGTGTATATATATATGTGTGTGTGTGTGTGTTTGTATGTGTGTGTATATATATGTGTGTGTGTTTGTATATATATATATTTCTGTGCTTATATGTGTGTGTGTGTATATGTGTGTGTATGTTTTTATTGTGTGTATATGTATGTGTGTGTGTGTGTATATGTGTGTGTATGTTTTTATTGTGTGTATATGTATGTGTGTCTGTGTGTATATATATATATATATGTATGTGTATGTTTTTATTTTGTGTATATGTATGTGTGTGTGTATATATATATATATATATGTATATATATATGTATATATATATGTGTATGTATGTTTTTATTGTGTGTATATGTGTGTGTGTGTGTGTGTGTGTATATATATATATATATGTGTGTATGTTTTTATTGTGTGTATATGTATGTGTGTGTGTGTGTGTTTGTGTGTATATATATGTGTGTATGTTTTTATTTTGTTAATATGTATGTGTGTGTGGCACTGGCAAACATTGGGCTAGTCTCAGTAAATCTTTGCTGACCCCGAAAGGGTTAACAAAGTTGCTCAGACTGGGAGTTGAGGATCAATTTATGTTAAAATAAACTTTCTTAATTTGCCAATCCGATTGTATGCAGAAAATGTGAAATATTTTCAGACTAGCCTCTTTTTAGTAGACTACGGAGAGTTATTAAACCGCTTGTTGTTAAAGTGAGCATGTGTTCTGCAATCATCAAAAATTGATATGTACCGCCAGTAAACTAATTATGCATCATCCTGAGGATACAAGTACAGAGCATTGTTAATCCACTTGCACACCCGTTGACTAGCAGCATCAGGCTGCAAATAGCTTAATTAAGTCATAGACTAGGAATATACCCATATTGTAACAATTCATAGTATACCCAAAAGCCTCACTTTATTGGATCAATTAATATCAGCTATAGACCTCATTCTAACAGTAACTGTAACTGTATCAGTCTGATCGTATCTGCAAATCATGCAATGAAACATACATATAGATAAAAAGTTCACTTTCTAAAGAGTTTTTTTTCTTTATTGGATTTTTTTCAGTTTTATTTTTGTTTTGTTTTGTTTATCAGATGTGTTTGCAGAACCCTTGTTACTCTGCAGAGATATTAACATACTGTCATATACGTGTAAAGAAGTTAATTATAAAACAATTTATTTAAATAAAGTATTTTAATTAAAACCTAATATATATGTAATGCTAAGCAGTTATAGGATGCTAGGCGGTATTGCCAGGCAACACTTACCAGATATGAATATGAAATACTTTTGTTGCTGCTTTGTGTAAAACATTTTTTTTTTTTTTTAATATGTTTTGTTTAAAGAGGGGGGTTGACATTTAAACTAAGTGGATTGGTCAATATAACATAATACATTTATAAGTTGCACTATCAATTGATTTTTTTTCAGCATATTATAAAATTCTAAATCATTTTAGTACCGTGTGAAACGATAAGATAAATATATCTGAAGTCAATGATAAAAAAAATAATTATGTTTTGCAAGATCAAAATGCAGCAATGATCATTTAAATATCTGTTTACTAAAGTGCTAGTCAGCAGATTGACACATTGTTAGTTAAGGAATGTATAATATAGAATACATTCCATTGACCTGTGTTGAAATTTTCAAAGTTGAGTTTGCCAACCCCTCTTCTAACATTTCTAATACCTCGTGATTTATATGTAAAAAGTTTAACTCTTGCATGAGCTGGAGAATTCACAAATTTTGAAAATATCGTATTTTCTGGAAACAAAATCCAGAAATCTATTTTTTGATCCAACAAAAATTTATTCACAAACAAACATTTCTATAGTTTCCCCACTCTCAGCCAGCTCTAAATGATGAGATTCATCTAGTTTTAACCTGAGAGGTTCGAGGACCTAATGCCAAATCCAGTAATGGACAAGTTAAAATGATAAAAATAATTTAATGTGATGAAATCTATGGAAACGAAATGAAGTGACAATACAGTAAAAGAAGCTATAAAGACAGCCAGAAAAGGAACGTTTATAGCTTGGCTTTCAATAGCCTTTGTGGTCACACGCATTGGGTGCTGAATGGTTTAACATGAAAACAAGGAACCTACAAAGATGTCCTGGTCCTTTGTAGAAGAGTCTCCTATTCTTGTGCCCTCGTGACCTCTGCAGCAAAGAGTGTTGATTTTTGCCACAACGTTTCAAGTAGTTGTTTTTTGTGTAATTGTCTCTAACAATTAACAAACACACATGACCAAGACAATTCTTCTAAAAGGGAGAGCAAGTGAAAGTAGAAATATGCTTTTGTTTGACCCACAATAAATAAATACACAAACAAAGCTCTTTAGATGATCAATTTGGGTAACTCAGCTCAGAGGTTAAAAAAAAGAACACAACACAACAAAACAAAGCAAAGCAATACAAGACAAAACACAAGACTACTTGGCTTGTTTCAAAATAGATTATTTACTAAACACCGAATTGTAGCGAATTTGCAATTTTGAAATTTAGGTTAATTTAACCAAGTTGTGACTATAGCTAAATTTGAAGTATTTTTTAAGCCTAAATTTTGCAATTTTGGTTTCAGTTTTGACTAAATAACTCTGTGAGAAATGTAGACCACAGTTGTTAATTGTGCAATATAAATATAAAAATAAATTTAAAAAGAGAGTTTTTTTTTAAGCAAAGCTGGTTTAGTGTAAGTTTTGCAACTCTGCCTTTAACTAATCTCATTATTTTTTAAATATTCTTCTTGATTTGATTTTTCAGATAAATAACTGAAATGGTTCTAACGCTAGTAAAAAAACAAAAAAAAGAACAATAATAATTTATATATATATATATTTGGATAAAGGATTAAAACATACACCATATTGTAATTTTGTAAGGATTGCAGTTTCTCTGGCCATCTGGCTGTGCTCGGCTCTGCCCCATGCTGTATGTTTTTAGCTTCAAATCTCTTCCGTTGTAGCCCCTCTTTTATTGAATTCATCAAAAGCAAAGTTTCCCTGAGATTTTTTTTTTTTAAGAAGCCTAAAATAATAAGTCTACCACTGTGACATTCTCTGGGCTTGAGCCATTTTTCATAACGCAGCTGATACTCTTTTGTGCAGCTATGTCGACTAAACAAGATGAATAACGAGAAAAGTCTGCAGAAACTAAGCTTCAAGATTTTCTCATCTCTACAAAAGTTACCAGGAATGGGAGATGCTCTTTAAAGCAGAGATCAGAGCAGCACTTTTGATTACACTACTTTGAAAGTCAGTGTTACCCTTTCTGTAAGTTAAACTTTGTAGCTGATGGAGTTGCACAGGTGGCGTTTATAGGACTTGGGATGAACACTGCCCTTTGGACATAGAGCACTTTGAAATATTTAAACAGAACTTTTCTCGCACCTCAAGAGTTCGACTTTAACTCAGACACCAGCAGCAGCAGGCTGGACCTCAACAAAGACCCAGGAGACAAGTGGCCACGGCTTCTCCACTTTAGGTGATTGGAAGATTTTGGTAAGTTTGACACTCCAATCTAAAAAGAAAGAAAATAACAGCAACTGTGTGTTTAGGACAGATTGGAAGGGAGAGGGGCAGCAACTGTGTGTTTAGGACAGATTGGAAGGGAGAGGGGGGAAAAATCAGGAACTGCACACACACACACACATACACACACTTTAATTATCTGTGCAGACACACACACATACGTGTACACACGCAAACATTGTTTAATTATCTATGCAGACAAACATAAATGTAAGCAAACATAAAAGGATGCATATGAGTGCATGAACACGTGTACATATATACCTTTATATGCTTTATACTTGAGAAAGAGGTATATATATATATATATATATATATATATATATAAATACACACACACACACACACACACACACATATATATATTTATCTCTCTCTCTCTCTATATATATGCATATACATATATGTACATACACACAAATGTATGCTTTTATTTATGTGTGTATGTGTATATGTATATATTTATGTATACATATACATATAGAAATATTCAAATATACCCAGACACTCTTGATTACAAATTGAACAACGTATCATTAACTCTTTTCATTTTAACACCTAGTGATGCAGAGGAAGCTAACTTCATAGCAAACAGTGTAAGCGATAAGTTATTTTATGATGCATTGTGTAATAAGCAACTTACATTATGATGACAGATTCGATGAAGCGGAAGGAAGGGGATAGATTGATATAAACAGAGAGAGGGGCACAGAAAGAGGGAGATGGACAGACAAACAGATAGATAGATAGATAGATAGATAGATAGATAGATAGATAGATGGGATGATAGATAGATAGACAGAGAGATAGATAGATAGATAGATAGATAGATAGAGAGATAGATACAGACAGAGAGATAGATAGATAGATAGATAGATAGATGGGATGATAGATAGATAGACAGAGAGATAGATAGATAGATAGATAGATAGATAGATAGATAGATAGATAGATAGAGAGATAGATACAGACAGAGAGATAGATAGATAGATAGACAGAGAGATAGATAAATAGATAGATAGATAGATAGATACAGAGATAGATAGATAGATAGATAGATAGACAGAGAGATAGATAAATAGATAGATAGATAGATAGATGGGATGATAGATACAACAATAGATAGATAGATAGATAGATACAGAGATAGATACAGAGATAGATAGATAGATAGATAGATAGATACAACAATAGATAGATAGATACAGAGATAGATACAGAGATAGAGAGATAGATAGATAGATAGATAGATGGGATGATAGATGGATAGATAGACTCCTGACAAAAGTTACATGTTTCATAGAAGCTTAGAAAACACTCAAAGAGATTCAAACCATTGTATGGAATTATTTAAATATATTTGTATTCCAAGGCATTTCCTATATTTAATCAATGTGTTTTGTACAAGTATATTATCTATAGGAGGCTGTATAGATCCATCATTTTTTATTCATTCTCCTCCTTCCCTTTAATGAGCAATGAAGATTCCACTGCTGAGAAATGCATTTTGTATTTTAATAACACGAACCCTCCTCCCAGCAAGCAATGCAGAATAGCTCCAACCCTTTCCTTGCCAGAGGGCTGTGAATGCAATGCAGAAAGGGATTATGTCATCGAAGAGGGTACCTGATAGCAAGGGGGATCAGTGAGAATTGTTCTGTAATTGAAGCATAAAATGCAACGTTTGCCCCATTGGTTAGCTAGGTGAATTAACACACACTGGAACTCAACAGCACTTGACCTTTGCCATTATGTTTGCTCAAATGTTTGCCTAAAACACAATCGGCCCTGACAAGGGAGCATGATACCGTGTGACACTGCCTATTCAATAGATAGATGTTCACTGCCACACAGAGCCCACACCAGCATCTCAAACAGTTAGGTATTTGTACAAGGCTGGGAATTACCATATGGGGGCCAGGGACTCCTAAAAACTACTACAGAGACTGATCTGAGCTCCATCACAGTAATCTGTCTGCTCCCCCACAAGAGACAGGCTAGGGAAACGGCATTAGGAATCAATACATAGATTGCTGATCGTTAGAGATACTTATTCAGAGAAAGTGGGGAGCCAGCACAGGCAGAGGAGACATGTATACAAAAATCAATACATATATTTAAACATATATATCTAGAACAATAAACATCCAGACAGATATATCTAGCACAATATACATCAAGACACATATCTAGCACAATATACATCCAGACATATATCTAGTACAATATACAGCCAGACAGATATACCTAGTACAATATACAGCCAGACATATATACCAAGCACAATATACATCCAGACATATATACCTAGTATAATATACACCTGTAGCGATATACCTAGCACAATATACAGCTATACAGATATACCTATCACAAAATACAGCCAGACATATATACCTATCACAAAATACAGCCAGACATATATCTAGTACAATATACAGCCAGACATATCTACCAAGCACAATATACAGCCAGACATATATACCTAGTATAATATACAGATATACAGATATATCTAGCACAATATACATCCAGACATATATCTAGTACAATATACAGCCAGACAGATATACCTAGTACAATATACAGCCAGACATATATACCAAGCACAATATACAGCCAGACATATATACCTAGTATAATATACAGCCAGACATATATACCAAGCACAATATACAGCCAGACATATATACCAAGCACAATATACAGATATACAGATATATCTAGCACAATATACATCCAGACATATATCTAGTACAATATACAGCCAGACAGATATAACTAGTACAATATACAGCCAGACATATATACCTAGCACAATATACAGCCAGACATTTATACCAAGCACAATATACAGCCAGACATATATACCAAGCACAATATACAGCCAGACATATATACCTAGTATAATATACAGATATACAGATATACCTAGCACAATATACATCCAGACATATATCTAGTACAATATACAGCCAGACAGATATAACTAGTACAATATACAGCCAGACATATATACCTAGCACAATATACAGCTATACAGATATACCTAGTACAATATACAGCCAGACATATATACCTAGTATAATATACAGATATACAGATATACCTAGCACAATATACAGCCAGACATATACCAAGCACAATATGCAACCAAACTTATATACAAAGGACAGCCAGACAGATACATCAAGGGCTACACACACACACACACACACACACACACTACACTACACATCCAGACATATATACACAGGACAGTTCTCAGACTGACATATATATAAGGCAAAATATAAGATAGATAGATAGATAGATAGATAGATAGAAAATTTCTCATTGGCTGAGTTAGAGATAGTTTTTTGCACCGCTTGTCTGGCCTACATTTTGCAATTTACTAAAACACATGCTGTTTTGGAAATAGTATGTTCAATGTGTGATGAAAATTCTGACAATTTTTTATGAAGTAAACATAACATTAATTAGATTGATGGTAATATGTGGCACAATTCTATTTCTATGTATATTCAAGGTAACAATGTAGAAAATGTCTCAAAAGGCATTGTGGGTACTTTAGGAGAAATATAAATTTTTACCATAGAAAGAGATGCATTTTACAGTACAGAGCAAACTGTAGGCATGCTTAAAATTTTTTTCAATATACTGAATTCTTATTTAACTCCTATAATGAATAATAAAAATAGGCCCCTGTAGCACTAAATATTACCCACTTCTACAGTTCATAATAAAACCCTCCCACAAACAGAATTCTAGAGCAATTGGCCATTAGATTAGGAATACATCTCAGACATTACTTGTCTGAGACCTATATAATAGATTCTAGAAATATGACATTAACCCCTTAAGGACACACGACATGTGTGACATGTCACGATTCCCTTTTATTCCAGAAGTTTGGTCCTTAAGGGGTTAAACATAATTTAAGAGTCATAGCCTAAGCAAATGTTTCTTCTATGTTAAACAATAACAAAATAATTATTCTAATATTTGGCACACATCAATACACACTCATATTGGGTTTACATCTATCTATGTATCTGTCTGTCTATCTGTCTGTTTGTCTAATAAATAATAGTGGGATGTTCTATTGCTTGTCTTTAAATCTTTAATTTCTCACAGAGGTAGAATGCAATCCATGTTCTGTGACATAGACTGGTTGTTAACAGGAAATAAAAAAGTTTCAATAATTTAACATTTACAATATGTAAACTATAAATAGAATTCTGGATTTGTTTCTGGGGCACATTCTAGAATAGAGAGTGCCTAAAACAGAAAAACAAAGCAGTCTATTTAATTTTGAAATGCACATGATTCTTAATAATACAAATATGCACTTCTCACCTCTCCCTGCTTGGTAGGATGTTTGAAAATGATCTACACAGGGAGCAATCCCTTTCTTTAAAACTGCACAGCACAAGCTCCTGTTTACTTGTAATGGTCAGGGCAGAACCCAG